CTCTGTAAGATAAAATGATACGTTTTCCTCTCTCTCTGTAAGATAGAAGGATACGTTTTCCTCTCTCTCTGTAAGATAGAATGATACGTTTTCCTCTCTCTCTCTGTAGCATTAACTTCCAGAATAATCGTTTTGTTTACAACCACCATCTTAGAAAGTTCGGACTTTCTTTAATCGAGTTTGCCTACGACATTTGAAGCGTTGTCAGTGTAACATCCTATTTCCCAGATCGCCGGAGTTAGCATCAAGCTAGGTTACCATGTCAACGGAAAAAATACAAACAAACAACAACAAAAAACAGTGTAGTGCGGTTGAGAAGTAACGAGCCAATTTCCAAGAAGTCCAGAAATTAAACTGTGCTGATAATTATGGCAAATGGAGACAGGAACTGAAGTAATACGAAATATGACTGATAATCAAAATGGTTACAAAAACTCAACACTTAATTAAGAGCTATAAGTTTAATAGAAAGAACTTTAATGATAAATGTCACGTTCTTACTGTAAAACAAAAAGAGAGAGAGAGAGAGAGAAAGAAAAAGACCATGGAAACTGAACGTATTTAAACTGTACATGTTATGTTTAAATATATATATATATATATATACACACACAAAAAAATTTTGTTAGTTTGTTATGCGTAGTTGTTTATTCGTTTGTTTTTGAGCAGCTGCCCCCCAGTAGCACAGCGGTATGTCTGCGGACTTACAACGCTAGAATTCTGATTTCGATACCCGTGGTGGGCAGAGCCCAGATAGCCCATTGTGTAGCTTTGTGCTTAACTTCAAAAACAACAACTTTTGAGCAGCCACTCTCCAGAGTTGCTCGGGACAACCTGGTGTTCGTTTGTTTTTGAACAGCTACTCTCCAGAGTTACTCGGGACAACCTTGTGTCCGTTTGTTTTTGAGCAGCCACTCTCCAGAGTTGCTCGGGACAACCTGGTGTTCGTTTGTTTTTGAACAGCTACTCTCCAGAGTTACTCGGGACAACCTTGTGTCCGTTTGTTTTTGAGCAGCCTCTCTCCAGAGTTGCTCGGGACAACCTTGTGTTCGTTTGTTTTTGAGCAGCCACTCTCCAGACGTGCTCGGGACAACCTTGAGAACGCCAAGGATTTACAAACCCCGTGTATTGATCAGCATTTCAGAAAGATTTAGAACAAAGATATGGAATGGCTTATTGAGCATATGATCATCAAACCTAAAGATGAAAGTGCATAGAGTATATTTACGATTAACTTTCGATCAGATCAAACTTCCGATCAGATCAGATCATAAATCATCGGTAATTAATATAATACATTTACAAAACCGGTCTTTCTAAAAGTATACAACGTCATAAAACAAACACTTATAATGATTAGATTACATTGATTCTTCGGCCGTGTGCCTCATTGTTAGCGACATTTTCGGTCATAATCTGAAAAATATCCCATGAAGTTCAGCTAGTATCATTATTATGAAGGATTGCCCGGCATGGCCAGGTGGTTAGGGCGCTCGACTCGCAATCTGTGGGTCGCGGGTTCGAGTCGCCGTCACACCAAACATGCTCGCCCTTTCAGCCGTGTGGACGTTATAATGTTACGATCAATCCCACCATTCGTTTGTAAAAGAGTAGCCCAAGAGTTGGCGGTGGGTGGTGATGACTAGCTGTCTTTCCTCTAGTCTTGCACAGCTAGCCCTCGTGAAACTTTGTGCGAAATTCATAACAAACCAAACCATTATTATGAAATGCAGTAAAAGCATTACTGTACATTGGGTTCACGGGATATGCGGTAAACATCTTAACACATTTCTAGGTGTGAATACCCTCAATGGGTGTTTAAAATGTCACGAAGTTTGTTCTGAAAATTTCGTGGGATATCTTCATATAGTCAAGAGTAATCGAGTGATTTTGTCCTAAAATCCGGGTCCAAACATGAAATAATTGAGAACTTTCTAAGTTGATAAACTTGTAAACAGTTATCAATTATTAAACTTAAGAATTTGTTAACTTTTTATTTAAAAAAAAAATGGAACGCATCATATGTTAAACGCAACAGAGCGGAATTTCACGGACGTGTCGTATTTAAATATGTACTCCGAAGATGGCCCCAAGGCCGTAGGTATTGTGTAGTGAATTAAGTTATCGTAATATGCTAGCGTATTCTTTAGTGATGAAATATTTTCTTTTCACATCCCTCAATCTCGTACACGTGATCGTTTAACACGAATCTTAATTTACAGCACTCAAAATATGTTACCTTTTTTTTAACACTGGTGACTCGCTCAAGGAATAAATAGGCCTGCCAATAATAGATTTGTTTAAAAAAAAAAACTCGTGGCAGCAATAAACGATCATACACCTCTCTTGACCCCCTGTTGTTGACGCGGGAAGGTTTTTAAAAGAGAAAGGATTTATGTAAAGATGCAGGGCACGGTGCAACGACCCGATTGCCTTGACCTTGGAAGAGAAGCGCTTCAATAGGGGGTGTTATTCTAAGGACGAGTTTGCCTCGCGCGTTAACATCAAGGCCATTTTTCACATTATTACCTCAAGAAGTGCTCTGGCTCAAACACATTGATAAATTCGTGTTGGGTGACTATTTTCTTGATTCCATTAGTAAATAAACAGTATGTCATTTCTAAACTTAGTTTTGATCAGATGCCAACGAATGTACGTGTTGCACGAGTGTTATATTAGGCCTCAGTTCTTTGAACTGTAATTCACCAGCGGTATTAACTGTTTAATCGATAGGTCGCACGAGTATGTTGCCCACATTTCTGTATTGCCCAGACATTGACTAGCGAGTCTATCACCAGGGGCTTACTATAGTTTCAAGTGTAGTAGCTCCTGCGATCTCTTCGTTTATCGGTCACTGAACTCCGAGGTCTAAGTCTGGAAACGCGTACTGGGCGGAGCGTAGCTGGCAGGCAGCCAATGAACAAAGACCTTCCAAAGGGCATTGTGCCACTCAGGCAAACGTGACTGGCCCTTCATCCTTCAGTCACCGGCCGTAAAAAGCTACTGAATCTCAATATTGAACTTGTACTTCTGAGTAGATGGATGTAAGTATCCAGCTTTCTCTCACCATTGAAACTAGTAGTACTGGTTTCACCAAGCAGAGCGTGGAACTTACTCCGCCCCTGGGTTTCAATCCTACTTTTAACTGCGTTGTGGATCACTTTCACTACCACACAGAACCTAGAAACAAAAGCGGGAACCCGCAGTTCCAAGAAACTTTACTGTGTTGAGTGTGATTCGGTGTTAACTCTAAATGTGTTGTACTGAATAATCCTTAATTCTGTCGCCAGACTTTTTGTAACTTAATGTTCCACTAGTTAGTAGAAGAAAGAGCAGTATGATAATAAATGAGAAGGAATTACAGTTTCTCAGAACGCTTCCCGCCCCAGATCATCAGAGTGACAGAAAGGGAACGGACCTCAATATAGGTGACTAATATATTTCCTGTCATACTTTCTTTTGTAATTTTCTATCAGTGTAGTAAAAATAATCGTTAGAAAGTCGTGTTTTATTATCTGTTATAACTTAAAACTGAGATAGCTGTTTGCTACACTAGTGTCTTCTAATTTTCAGAAACATAGTCGGAAATGCGCTTAATGCTGTTCTTAAAGTGCACGAGATTCAATTTTTCAGAATTTTGATCTATGTTTGAGTTAACAATTAACTGACAGAAGTTACAACCGTCCATGAAGTATAAGTTCCTCTGTGTTAAGGTACAACTGAGAAGTATATCTTATATCAATTAACGTATTTATGAAAGTGTATAATCAGAGTCTGAATAAAACGTGTCTTGGGTGTGTCATACTAGTAACCTTGGTTTTAAATTTAAGCACAGCCAATCAACCGAGTTCTCTGCTTCGAGAGTACAGTCGAGTCAAGGTCGTTGACCGAGCACGCGCGTGGAGGTTCTGCTGTATAAAAAAAAAAACTGATTACTGGTAGCGCTATCTGGAGGATAACGACAGATTTACTGAGAGAACGCGCTCACAAAGAACACATGATCGCGCAAGAATTTCCCAGAACATTCAGTTACTTTGTTTTCTTTAACAACTGAAACGTTGACCCCGATGGTTCGAAGTTCATCATATAAGTTTTGTAAGAACGTTTAAAGGAGCAATGACCTAATGTAGTATATTTTCTTTTTAAATCCAAGGTTAGTGACCACATATGCGTACAAATATTTGTCAGAAACATCTTCGTCATTAATAAAAGCATAACTCGTCACATAAAGCAACTAATTGTATCTGTAGCGAAACGCTAGAAAGTATCTGTAGCGAAACGCTAGAAAACTGAGGTAATATTTCTTCAGGTTTTATTTCTTTCGTAATATGTTTCTAAATCTAAAGTGTGCGAGTCGAAAAAAGTCAAAGATTTTTGTATATAGTTTAATAAAATGAATTCGTAAAGCACAGACACGATATTTAAAAGTTCAGTTTATAACATCTCAATCAAGTATTTGGACTTCCATGTGGGAACGACTTGAGCATTACGTTTTATATATATATATTCTAACAGTCCGAAACGTTGTTTTCAAACAGGCACAAAATTGACCAGTTGGGAGAAGCCCCTTTAAAACTATCAAATTAGTTCAAATCCTTTGTCTTTACCTTCTTTTTAAACAATTCCATTATTTTACTGACCGGTAGTTTGTGTGACGTTGAATCACAATAAGGCTTACTATAATTTCACGTTGAATCACAATAAGGCTGACTATAATTTCA